CTCACCATGCTGTTTCTTTCTCACTTAGAAATTGCTACGGTTTTCTCTTTGTTGACCTCTCCTAATTTCTCCCACCATGAGAAGAGCAGACAGGTACATTGAGAAGCAGCATTATGAAGCCTACGACCTACCAGGCCTTGCAGCCAGGCCACTGGATATTTTATTGACTCCATCATCTACCAGCCTGTGATGTTGGATGTATTATATCTCTAGCATCTGTTTCTTGGCCCAGTATTGGACACTGTAAGACTAACCCCATGGGAATCTTGGGAACACTAGATATAATGTAAGTTAAGTGCCAAACATAGTAGATGATAAAAAATGAAACATATTATTACAAGCATATATTTCTCAATCTATTGACAGTCTTCATTTTTTAATTCCCCAAATCATTGCATGTATAAGAAACTTCTACAGTACTTAACAAGACTATATGTTAATTTAAAAAATGATTATGAACTTTTTCAAACATACAGGAGAGCATGGAAAAGTAATATACCATCACCAGTATAAGTATCTGTTAAAAATATGGAGCTGTCTTGTATGTTTTAAAACTTTATATAAATATCAAACTTCACATATTATTCTATAATTTACTTCTCCCCAGCATTACATTTTAGAAATTTACCCATCTTCATATATGTAGCTTTCTTAGTTATTTTCAATGCCTTACAGTATTGATTGCATGAATCTACCATAATGTATTCCTGCATTCTCCTACTGATGGCCATTTAGATTGTTTCCCATTATTCACCTATTACAAATAATGCTGCATAGGCATCCTTCTCACTCTTGCTTCTTTAGGTACCTGTGAGAGAGTTTCTTTGGGATACAAATCCGGAGGTAGAATTGCTAGATTCATCAGATATACCCATCTTCAACATTACTGGTCATTGTTAAATTGTGTTTTCAAATCACTGTAGCATTTTATTGTAGTCTCTGCTTGAGAGTATTTTTTAGGTTTTTTATTGAGATATATTTTACATACAATAAAATTTACCCATTCCAAGTGTACAACTCAATAGTCTTTAGTATATGTGCAGAGTTGTGCAACCAGCACTAGAATCAAATGTTAGAACATTTTAATGTGATAGCATTATTTATAAGTACACATAAAATATATAGAAATCTGTAAAGCTCATTATGTGTCCCGCCCAATATATACATGCGAAACTTCTGGGAGGAGCTAGTTTGTAGAGCTCCCCTACCAATAATAGAGAAAATGAATTTTCTTGTTTTAAACCTGTAGTTTGAGTAGGCAGCTTGAAGGAACATTTCTAATTAGATTTTGAAACTGCTTAAATGCAGGTTCCTGTTATTTGCTAATAAAAGCATTCCTATTTATTCACCTCAGAGTAAAATGACTCAGAACTCACTCTATGTGAAGAGAGAGGAGTGTTATACTAGCTAAAGAAATGATTTCCCCAGAACAATTCTTGATCACACAAGAAAGGAAGGGAGCTGTGAAGGAGTATAGATGTTGGAGTAAACAGTTGTGAGAGCAGGTTCATTGGCAAAGGAGAAGAGAGAGCAACTGTCTTTCTTTTTTTCCACAAGTTAACTCGTTGAGTTTTAATGAAATAATTTGTATGCTCTGAGTTATTAATTAATGGCACTTTCAAGTACTACTTACCTCGACCCAAATTTAATATGTTAATTGACAAGAGGATTGCCACATATGACATATATATATTAACAGGAGCTATATACATAATGTCTCATAAGAATTGGAATCTCATAAGAAACATCAGGTCCATGGACACCACCACCAATTCTCTTGTTTATTCCTTCTAGTCATTGGCTTAAGGACTTAAGCATCAACTTCCAGATGCTGTGGTTTCATTTCATCAGGTGCCTGACAGCTTTCTGAAATTTCATCCTTGCCCTTGAGACCATCCACAAGTATGGAGGGTACAGTCACTTTCTGTGACAGTTCAGCAGGTGACCTAAGACGAGGCAGCGTAAGAAGACTGTGAAGAGGAGGAAAGCCACAGAGGCAGCACAGATTGCTCACGGCAAACACACAGAATCCCACCTCACCAGCAATGCAGCCATGGCAAAAGCTTCTCGCTGGCCCTGGGGCCAGCTGCACCACAGTCATGGATCAACAGGCTTTCTCTACAGTTGGGAATAGCCTGACTCCACAGCATGACATGTTGTTTCTTTGACAGCACTGAGGTTTTTTACCTGCAAAATGTACAGATAAAGGACCTGAGATCCTTTGTCTGCACTGAAATAATTCTCCTGAATTAGATTCTAATATTGAGCCACTCTACATCCTTGGAGACTTGGGTCCCAACTCAGATTTCCCTTGTAACAATACTGTGAAAACCACTTCGATCTCTTTCTTGCAGGGTCCTTTGCTGGGCAGACAGATGGCTCAGTGAAATCTAGTCTATGCATTTGTTACTGGAGAGGAAGTGATTAAGCTTTCCAGACTGGAAAAACATCCACCGTCAGCAACTGGGATTGGGAGTTAGGAATGAGCTGTTGCAAAGGAGAGGGCCCAGGGAAGTTGTTCCTATGACTAATGTTACCTTCTATGCAGTGAGGCAGTATTGCCAACCAATGCGTTAGGATCTGCACAATTGAAGGATGAGGGACTGAAGTGGAAAACATCCCTGACTTGTGCTGGAAAGGGTTAACCCCAGCAAGCAGCCTGCTGAATTCAAGGCTGTCCTCAAGTTAGTCAGGAAAGAAAGGGGCAGAGCAGATTAGTGATACTCTTACTCCCTTCTCCACCCAACCCAAGAGGAACAGTATAACTAAACTCATCCAGCCTATTCCCAAATGAGGCAAAATTATTTGGGAGTTGCTAAGCTCCAGAAAAGAGTTAAATTAAATGGGTTGCACCCCTTGCCCTCCAAAATCAAATGAATACAAAAGTTGATCCACCATTTTTGAGTGTAAGAAGCAACAAAACTCTGCTGAAGGCATCCAGGTCGGAGCCATTCTTCCTCCTAACTGGCTTCAAAGCTGGCACTCCTAGACTCCATTTTCCTGCTTTTCTAGTTTATGGCCCAACTTTCCCAACTTGTTAGAATCATGGCGCCACGGTCTTGCATCCTTCATGCCACCAGCTTCCTCCACACTCACACTCATCATCAACAGCTCACACATCTCTTGCTGATCAGGGGGGCTCTTCTGCTTTTCAGTGCCTGACTAGGCACTATACTGCACGTGAAAACAAGGCCTGGCATCTTCCTTTGTCTTTGTCTAAAATCTAATCCTTACAAGTTGCGAGGTTTCCAAAAATAGGATTGTGGGCATGTAAAAATGCATATGTGTCCTCCCCGCCAACCCATGCTGCAGATTGAATGTGTGTAGGCAACAAAAATAGTTCTAGTAGCATAGATATGGTAGCTATATGTGAGGCACTAGCTCATTTAATCCTCAAAATAACCTTTCAGGGAGGCATTTATGATCTTTATTTTTAGATGAGGACACTAAGACTCAAAAGTGTTACATGTCTTACTTAAGAATATAATTTATAGAGGACAGAGGTGGAAAATAACCTTTCAGGGAGGTATTTATGATCTTACTTTTTAGATGAGGACACTAAAACTCAAAAAAGTTAGGTGTCTTGCTTAAGAATATAATTTATAGAGGACAGAGGTGGAATTCAAATCCAGGTAGTCTGACTCACAGAAATGAGATGTTGGGAGTTGTAAGATGTTGGGAGGTAGGGAGGCTAGGAGGTGTCCACTCAGGGTAGAGGTAGGGAGAATTTTAAAATAATAGAACCAGCTGGGAGTCAGATGGCTCTTTATTATCACTGGGTATCAACAATTTTCGATAATGCAGTGGTGAATTTTTTTTCCATTTGGGTGAATCACTTCTATTGTCTTATTAGGCTGGACACTGTCATGTCTGTATATGGTATCTGACATTGGAGCAGCCAGGCTACAACTTGGAAGGGAGCTCAACTGCAACTCAGAGAATGGCAGAGCAAAAGATAGAAAGAACCTGGTTTGTTATTTTACCCTTTCTTTTTTTAAATTACAAGTTGAGCATCTCTAATTTGAAAATCCAAAATTCAAAACACTTCTGATCCCAAGCATTTTGGATAAGGGATACTCAACTTGTGGTAAAATATATATAACATAAAATCTATCATTTTAGCCATGCTTAAGTGTCCAATTCAATGGTATTAAGAACATTCACAAGGTTGTGCATCATCACCATTACCCATTTCCAGAACGTTTTCATCACCCCAAACAGAAACTCTGTACCCATCAAACAATAGCTCCCTATTCCTCCCTCCCTGTAGCCCCTGGTAAACTCTCTTCTTTCTTCTGTCTCTGTGAATTTACCTCATACAAGTGGCATCACATAATATTTGTCCTTTTGTGTCTGGCTTATTTTACTTATCATAATGTTTTCAAGGTTCACCCATGTTGTAGCATGTATCAAAATTTCATTCCTTTGTAGAACTGAATAGTATTTCAGTATATGACTGGGTTTTTAATGACATCTTTGAGCCCCTATACCTTGGTGGACCTCTTATTAAGTCAGATAATAATTTTATCTATGGTTTAGGCCATGCAGCATGGGGTTTTCCTAACTGATACCTAAGACTCAACTCAGGTTCTCCCCTGGGAAGCTCCAGGGTGGGCAATAAGGCCTACAGAGTACTCAAAATGAAAGCTCCACAGCATGGTGCAGAATTTCCCAGGTTTCCTGATATGTGTATGTACCTAGATATGTGTGGGTATGTGTGTGTGCACATGCACATATGTACACATGCATACAAACACATGACGAAGCCCACACCTTTACCTGTTTTCATCCTCAGTTTAGCTATTTTGTTACCATTGATAATTTTAACGTATACAGGAATTCAGCACTTAACATTTTTCTTCACCATAAAAAAAATATGAAACTCCAAATTGGGTGAGACATTGTATCTGGTGCTCTATGAAGTATAAATCAATGCTTCATTTCAAAACACTTTTCCACAATCTTCACTGGAATTGAAAGTAAACAAGTTTAGTCCAGAGTAAAGAATAGAAACATTTATTTTAAAAATACCATTTAGCATCAATTGCCCCAAGTTTAGCAGGCAAGAAGGTTGGGCACTTCATGTTGTATTAGTATATAAAATTGGATTTACAGGAAGCATTATTTCAAAAACATGAATAGTTACTATGAAAACTGAAAAAGGGAGTAGTATCAGAATGTTAAGGCTAAGAAAATGTCACTATGGAATGAAAAAAATCTCCTCCTCTAATAATTACTAATGGAATAGAAGCTTTGACTTACTTGCATCCTCCTCATAGAACATTTTGGTTCATGGCTATGAAGAGATGAACTGTAAAAAGATGTGTGCAGATCCCAGTACTGGTAGGGATACAGAAGTGAAGATAAGAAGAAAAAAATTAGGCAAAATGTCTTTACTCAAGGATCTCTATAAAAAGGTATTTTTAAGAAAACCTGAGTAAGCATGTATATTTTCTCCTGTGACTTTAAAAGTGTAATGACAGAATTAAAAATCAATTATGCTGTGAATATACAAAGATCTTTTCGTTATAAGCATATGTAAAGCCTTCTGCAACTATTACATATATATCACACTATCAAATCCTAACTTTTTTGCTTGTTCCCTTTTGTGGTCTCTAGTTTTTCACATCCTCACAGAGGACAAAGGCCTTTAGAGATCCATCAATTCAGTCCTTTCATTTCACAGATAAAGAAGGGTAAATAGTTTGCCCACAGTCACATTCATCCTCAGTGGCAGAGACTGGACTAGAACCAGGTCTCATGACCCCAAAGAGTGCTTTTCTCATTACATGACACGACCTGTTCTTCACCCCATTCCTGATCTGAAGTGGACTATGCTCCCTCAATCTCAGATGGGCAGAGGGGCTGGGGAGGAAAGAAACAAGCCTGTTTAGGGCCTCTGGCTTGCTAGGAGCATGGGGCTCTAGAGCAGGAGGTAATAAAATACATCTCCTTGTATGCCAAGTTTTTACAAATAACCCATTACACACACACATGCACACAGTCAGGCTACTCTGAAGATCTAAATGAGAAATACTTCCTAAGTGGAGAATTGTGTGTGAGGGAAACTTGTTTAAAGCTTCCATAACAGTGGTTATTGATTTTAAAAGTGAACATCTGTTCACTTACACAGTCATACACCTTTTAGAAGCTCTGCAAATAAAGCCCTAGTTATAGATGATGACTAATGTGAAGAGCTTCAGGCCCCAGGGGACGTCTGAACACCACTCCATGAAGTCCCTAACTACCACACTACCAAATGAGCTGTGAATTGGTGGTGGGAAATGTCTCCGAATATGCAGATTTCAGCAGAAAATACATTTGACTGGGTTTTTTTTAAAAAGTTCCACCATTCTCATATCTGTTTCTGATTTTATATGCATCAACACTCAACATGCTAAATGTTCTATTCTGGCAATTCATATTTCTAGGTGATGGTACCCGAATGCTTATTGCAACATCCATGAGAGGTGCCTCAAGAGGAATTATGGTCAGATCTCTTGAGGCCATTTTTTTTGTTCCTTTGAGATTAAAATTCAGAAAATAAAAGTGTTACCACATGTTTTAAAATATCTGTCATACAAGCTTTGTTCAAGGTTCAATATGAGGAATATGGATTGGGAATTCCTTTTTCATATCCATGAACTAGGAAAATTGTGAAAGAAAAGTTCTTGAAACTCTGACAATGTCATGTTTACTAAATCATCAAAAAGTACCACAATTTTATAGATTGTCCTGCAGAAATTTATCTTTCTTGTGCTCCATAGGTTTCTGTAAGGATAAGACTCTTTTATTTAAACATTTCCTAGAAACTGCTTTCTCAAGTGAAGATTAATCATTTAGTTTACAAAACAGGAGCCAGCCACATGTTTTATGTTTCATCTCAGGCAATAAATTGTCTTTGTACCATATTTCTTGTCTCTTTCCATATAGTTTGTTGTGTCTTATACACAGACTCCTGAAAAATTCTTTCTACTTGTGTAGGAAAGCCAAGACTTTCTTCCTCTAAGGCATTGATGGTTTGGAGAGCAAAGGGAGTCCTTTCTCGGGGGAGGGGGTTGTTCAGAGGCCGCATGGGTATAACCGAGTTGTATTTGTGCTGCCTGTTAACAGAGTTCATTAGGGACGTATAGAACTGGAAATTACACCAGGTATCTCTTAAAAAGTTTTCAGTCAGTAATAAGATTGTCCATGCAGATCCATTTACAGCATCATCTAAATTCTGTAAATGCTGTCTGCCACACGGCATCTCAGCGAAGATTATTCCAGGTTTGATACCAAAGTCATCTTGTAGCAGATTCTGGACTCTGAGGGCTTCATCAGTGTCATCTTCTGCATGCAATATCACAAATTTGAGGAACACCTCTTCTTCAGCTTCTTCAAGCATCTCTTCCACGCTCTGAGGTCCCTCCTGCTTTCCTGTTGTCCCCTCTGTTGAATTGCTGTGCTCAGCAACATCACACAAGGACACATCTTTAGAATTCTTGGAATCTGACTCATGGTATCCTGGACTTGTATCCACACTGTGCCTTTTACCCCAAGAGAGAGAAAGAGGGCAGGAATCTATTTTGGACTTCCCGATACCCATTATAAATATCCAAGGCAGGAGAGGAAAACTTTATGTATTTCTCAGCATTTCTTTTCAATCTAAAGGAAGTAACAAAGCAGAATAATATTATAAATTTATTCAAAACATTAAAAATGGAAACTTTCATTCAACCTGAAAAGCTCAAAAAGATTATAATATACAGATTCAAATAAATAAATGACAAGCAGGTAATTGGGAATCTGAACTACTAGTCTTTTGTGAGCTTCACAAGGGGTATCACAGGCAGCAAAGGGTGTGTTAATAAAGGGTCCAGTTTAATGTAATAGGAGACATTCAGAAAATGTAAATGGTATTATATTAGCACTACAAACCTCCTGATTAAAATAAATTACGTTGGTATTTTCGTGATAAGTAACAAATCACTCTAACTTTTTATGCAGTTTAAATCTAATTTCTCCATTATCAAATTACCATGTAGACTAGAAACAAAAATCTAAGGAAACTGAATATTTAAATATTAAGCATAAATATATTTTTGTATTAAGCACAAACAAAATAGAACACAAATATCCTAACAATGACTGGCAGCATCTCTACTGACTTAGCACAAACGGAAGATCTGAAAGGTTCAGAGACTTTTTTTTTGTTTGTCCAGAGTCAGGCATTGTGTTGATGGTGAACTAATGGAGACTCAATTATAATAAGAGCGTGTGAAAAGCAAGAAATATCTTTTTCCAACAAATCCTGGAACTACTGAAAAAAATATATTTATTCACCTAGGGAAAAATTAACATCTCAGTTTGGAAGTGAATTCTAGAAACAAAGACTTGAGACTTTCTCCAGTGAAATCAACAAAGAATGATTATAGTCTAAATTTATTTTTGTTATTCTGTTGTTGTTATTTATTGTTATTATTTTTTTTCCAGAAGGTCTGGCTCTGTTGCCCAGGATGGAGTATAATGGTATGATCTCAGCTCACTGCAACCTCTGCCTGTCAGGCTCAAGCCATACTCCCACCTCAGCTTCTGGAGCAACTGGGACTACAGGTGCATGCCACCACACCCAGCTAATTTTTGTAATTTTGTTGTTGTTGTTGTTGAGATGGGGTTTCACCATGTTACACATGCTGGTCTCGAACTCCTGGGCTCAAGCAATCCTCCTGCCTCATCTTCTCAAAGTTATGGGATTACAGGGATGAGCTACCATGCCTGGCCTAGACTCATTCTTTTATTTAAAAAAATTCTAAATTCAGAGTGGAAGAACTAGATCAACTGTGAAAGAAAAGTACACTATGTGAATCTAATTTAAATAAATTCAGGAAATGTTGGCGATATTCCTAATAACCCCACCACCACCACAAATGGCAGTTTTCTTTTTATCAAAAGACAGAACATTTAGAATATATAAATATAGTTTTCATATCATCAAATGTGAGCCACAGGCTATATTCCAGAGCATTTTTACTTACTCTTTATGGGCAAAGGCCAGACCTCAAGAAAAAAATTATAATAACATTCATAACAACATAAGTAACATGGCTATATATGCTAAATAATTGAGGTTTAGAAGAAACTGTTCAACAAAGTGGTGAAAACTGTCATGGGAACAAAAACCAAGGGAAAAAAACATAGAGAATTTCATTCTAATGTATATGAGTAAATGTTTGCAGCTGCATCTGACTAGTGAGGAAATTGCTGACATTCACTCTCTGTACGTTAGGTTCTGGCTCTGTGGTATATTGTGCTAATTACCAAGAGGTATTCTAAGGCATAATAGCTCTAAAATGTGACATGCATACATCCAAAATAATAAAACCAAATTAATTTGGACTCTCTTCATTGAATGGGATTCATTGCTAACTTTTGTTACTGCATTATTTAAAAAAAGGGTTTTGCTATGCAAAGTTATAGAAGTTTCCCCTGAATAAGAAAACAATTGTTAAACCATCCAGAGGCATCTATTTTCTGTCAATTAAGATGATTTACTCTTATCATTGAATTCAACACCATTATCTTAGTCACTAGCCGGTACAGATAAGTGCATTTGAAGGAATATAACAGCTATTTATAAACAGTATGAAAAACTTCTAGGGTAAGACAGTGTGTCAAGGCAGATCACAAAATCTTTTAAAAGAAAAACAAAGAATTACAACTTCGACTTATTTTTCTTAAATACCAATTAGCAAAAAAGAGCAAAAGACTTCAGATATCTATGATGTGTTGTTCCAACTTCCAAGCAATGTTACCCACCAAATCAGATGGAGAGAAAAAAGCTGGTGGCAATGTTTATAAAACTTCACTATAACCTTCTAATCTGGAGGGAGGGAGTAAGGAGACTGCCAAGAGAATAAGATATGGAAAGTTGTGCTGTTCCCACCACCACTGTGACTCAGACATGGAGAGATGGTCAGGATTCATCAGTGCACTTTGGTTCGCAGGACTGGGAGGAAGTAAGAGGATATGACTGTGCTTCACTGTGGGCCAATTAACTCCATCAATAAAAAGGGCTCTATTAGAACAAAGGAAAGGCAAGGCATGCCGAAGAAAATCTGAGGAAGGTTGGCCAAAAGAATCCTGGAAAGCTTCCTTTAAAGTCTTCGTCCTCCACCAGGACAGTGAACATCGGGCTTAAAAAATTTAGGTTTCACCTTCTTGTCTCAGCTAAATGGGAGGAGAGTGAGGGTGCCACTTGGGAGACATGCACATGAGAACACTATTCATAAAAATTAAAATGTGTATGTATATATATTTTCATTTACTTTTTTTAAAAAAAGGTGGTGATGTGTCTCCATCCATCCTGTTACTTATCCCCATGGTCTCCTGCTGGTGACCACTTTTATCAGTTCCTCCTGCATCTTTCCACTGTTTCTCTATGAATATATATTCTTATTTTTCTTTCCCTTTTTTCAAAAATTTCCCAAGATTCAAAATAAGAATATTTTGAAAGAATATTCTTGTTTTCCTTTCCTTTTCAAAAACAGTATCATTATTCATATGTATATATGACACATAAATGCCAAACAGCAGTGGCTAAACATTAGTATACATTGCTTTTTCCCTTCATATCCTTGGAGCTTTCCGTAACAGCACATAGATAACTTCCTCTTATTTACAACTACATAATCTTGCAGCATGTGGCTATCCCATAATCACTCCCTGTTCTTAGATATGTGAGTTGCTTCCATTCTACTACTAGGACAAACTATGCTGTAATGGATAATTCTGTACAAAAAGCATTTCATATGTGTGCAAGTTTATCTATAGAACAATTCCCCCAATGGGATTTCCACTTGTAACAGTGATTCATTTGGTCAAACTGATCTCTGTAGGGCTGAGTCATTTGTTTTTAAACTTATAACTTGGTAGAATGACACCCCAACTCTATCCCTTGCCTCAGAAAAGACATAAGACAAAAACTATCAATTAATATTGGCCAAAGTCTGACAGAGCGAATCATATCCATCCCCTCAGGCAACAGAAATGTGAAGAAACATAATCAATCCGAATGGTGCCCTTAAACTAAAGTTCTGAAGGGAAGATCAATAGGTCTGAGATAAGAAGGAAGGAATGTCCAGAATGTATCTACTTTATATCTATGCAAAAGAGGACCTCAGTAGAATTATCTATATTCAATGAGAGGAATAAAAAAAAAACAACATGGCAAATATGCTATGGCAAATATGCAAAATATTATAGGAAATATAAAAGAATATGAACAAGAATCATAGCATACAAAAAACAGATCTAAAATTCCATTTCATGAAGACTACGCACTCTGGAATCAGACTGCCTGAGTGTAAATCCCCTTCCTGCTATAAAATAACTCATCTTGTACAACTTAATCAATACACGTATGCTTCGATTTCATTATCTGTAAAATAATTATAGTGCCTGTCTTAGGGGTTTTATGAAGGTCAAAATGTCTTAGAATGGTGCAGGCACATAGTAAATACTCAGTAAATGTTAGCAACTATTATTGCTATGAAATACATAACAAAGAAGCTAAAAATTTATACAACAAATGTTTATATTTTAGGATGGTGCTACTCAAAGTGTAGTCCATGAACAAGTTGCCAGTCTCTGAACTGTTTGTTACCAATGAGAAGATAAGCAGATTATGCCAGGATATAAATCAATTGCAGCAGTAAGTATGCTGTTTAGTTCAGCTGACATTTTTTTGTTAGCCAGATACTCTCAGTGCAGGAAGCAGCATGGTTTACATTCTGGGGCATGTTTCTTAGAATATCATGAACAAGCACTTTGAGTAACCTTACTCTAGAAGGTATTAAAAAGAATATGTAATCAGTGAAACAAAAATATCAAAGATGAGGTAAATTAACAGAATTAGATTAAAAGGAAGGCTGTAGACAAATCAAGGGTCCAAACACTATTAGGAAAAAATAGGAACAGCAAAGGGGTGCAGTGGGGCTGGAGGGAGCCAAGGGTAGCCTAGAAGGAAATAACCTAGAGGAGAAGCCAGGGGAGGATTTTGAGCAGAGGGATGACATGATCTGACTAGTTTCCATAGGATCGCTTCGGTTGCTGCATTGAAAATAGAAGGCAGGGAGGCAAGGGTGGAAGCAGGAACACTCATTAGGAGCTTGTTGCAGAAACCCAATGGAAAAATGATGATGGCTTGAACTGGGTTGGTAGCAGTAAAAGTAGTGAGAAGTGGATAAATTTGGGGCATATTTTGAAAGTAGAACTGAGAAGATTTGCTGATGATGTTGACTAGGCATGGAATATAGAGTCTGGAGTGTAGGGGAAAGATCCAGTGGGGAGATGCATATTTGGCCTTTATCTTTGTATAGATAGTATTTGAAAAAGACAATACGAGATCATTAAAGACTATACAGGATATTAAGGAGGTGAGTTAGATAGAAAAAGAAAGCCCAAGCCCTATGGTATTCCAACATTATGAAGGTAGAGTTATTGTTGTCATTATTATTAACTATTCCTGCAGTGATTTATTTATACTATGTTACAAATGATTTTTTGACAGTTGATGATCTGTCTTCAGGTTAGATTTATGGCAATTTGTTAGTCACTTTTAATTATTACTGCTAATAACAACATGCAAGTCATAAACCATTAATAAA